TACATACATACGTACACACATACACACTTACTTGCATAGTTTCATGTACATGCGTGTGCACACAGGCAGACAGAGACAGACAGCCGGCCCGGCAGAGACACACAGACATGGGTATGCATTGACTTTTATTTTCGCTATTACATGTTTGCATGCATTCATGTACATGCAAGTGTAACTCATGCGGTTCAAAGTCTTGAAGTGATGTGCGGGAAAGGACGGTGCAGCGTAGGACCGCATCTCGACTCAGCCCCGCGCCACATCCGAAACAGGGAGTCAAGCAGTGCAACATGTCAGTGCAGGTGGTCAGCAACGAGAAGACCCAGCTTTCGGGCGAGCTGAGCACGATCCAGGATTGCCACGAAGAACAGTATTTGTTCACATGTTTCGATGTTGTGACCTCATGTGTCGTCCGCAATTCCTCGGTACCCGGAGGACAACCACGCCCTTCTCCAGTCCAACTACGATGCGCTGAGGAAGGCCGGAGGTAAGGGGAGCTGGTGGGGTTGGAAACCCTAAGCCGCAAAAGCCCCAAAGAACCTAGCCGAGTTCGGCGCAGCATGCTGGACGTAAGTGTCAGTAGTTAAGCCAGATCTAGTTTCCTGCCCTATGCGCCGAGCTAACACAGCGATTTGCTGTTCACTTGACTCTACACACCCGATCCCTTAAGCCCGAAACCTCGAAACTCCGTGTCCTAAACAAGGCATCCGCACCAGTTGAGAGCGCTATCGCCCGGCAGGCCTTCGGTGCAGACAGCAGATAGGGCAGACGCTAGGATCGGAGGTTTCGGTTACAGTAGGCTTTATGGGGCATCAGGGAGGTCCAGGGGTGCTAAAGGAGATGTTCGATGCATCCAATGCCTGGCAGCCTCGCTTCGGCTGCATGTCCGGGAAGCTCCTTGGTATTTGAGGCTCTGCGACGATCAGCGTGTGGATATCGTTAAGGGCCAAGGGAGCCCGCCCGGCCTGATTTGCAGCCAACGATGGTGAACTCAAATGAACGAAGCCCCATGCAAGTGCCATCAAAGCCTTCACCTCGTACAGCAACCCATGCAAGCCTAAAATCCTAAGTTCCCCCTGCCAAACAGATGAGGTAAGGTAAATCAGGTAAGGTAAATCAGGTAGCTTAAGATACCAGAAGCGTTTGTCAGGATACAGCAACATATAATAAGCTAGCATCGCATGGTAGAGTAGCGTAGCGCAGAGTGGGGTGGAGTGTAAAAAGGGTACTCGTACCGTCATGTATATGTATTGTACTTAATGTGTACAAATACATATATGTGTATATACATATGTGTATATGTGTATATATATATATATATATATGTATATGCTACCCCTTCAATTACCAAGGTTTTCAGACAAGAACATTGGTGGGTGCTCCCATTAATATAGAATTCTAATGCTATTCTGGAAGAGTACTGAAATAATGTTTTGTTGGTAGTGTTTTTTTGTTTTTGGTGGTATTGTTTTGGTGTTTTTTGTTTTTGGTGGTATTGTATTTTTGCTTTTCGTTGGTATTGTTTTTTGGTTTCTCGCCTAGAGCCATTCTAAGCGCGATCACGACCAAAACGTGTTCCATTCATGTGCCATATTCTGTTGACGGCTTACTTCGTTTAGAAAACTCGCCCCATGCCATGTGCTTTATTAGCTTCAGTTGTAGTAGGTGGTCAACCCCACAAACACATTTATTCTTAAGAAATCAAGCTACTTGTAACGTTTAAAAACACCTACCAAGCGTAGTACCTCGATGCCATCGTATAGTGTGTACCATTTACTGTATGCGAAAAGAAAAGGTTAACTATTTGCCAGCTGAATATAGAATTGAACTTCCGGCGTTTGTTAATTACTACAGATGTGGCCCTACAAAGGCATGTATTCTTAGACTATATGTTTGAGATATCAAGCATATAGTCTTATAGTTTAAACATGCCTATTAAGTATAAGACCTCGGTGTTACCATTTAGCATGCACCATTTCGTTCTTGAAAAAATAATGTTAAGTACTCAGCAATTGGTTATACAATCGAATTTACAGGGTCTGTTAACTGCTAATTGCAAATAATATGGCTTGAGATTCCTTGTTGCGATTTACCCAGATAGCTGCTTAATAGAAGCAGTATAGTAGAACCTGGGAAGCTATACTTTTGAATAGGAGCCAAACAGCCTGAAGAAATCTCTCTACAACTAAGCTATTCATGAAGTGCCTTGCCAGTTAACACGAACAGACAGCAAACCTTCATATGATATCACTACACCAGGGATAATGACATACTTATACGGGTTACTGACTGCAGAAACAGGATTTTTCTGTATGTTGGTAATTAGATGATTGGGTAGATTGAATTGAATCCTCGGATCAATTCAAGCATAGGGCTTGCTGAGCTAACAATCGTCAGATTTACATATATAAATAGCATAGAGGGTTTGTTGTCTGCCGATTAGATGGCACCCTGCCCCCCAAAGACCAACGACTATCGGCTAGTGTGAGTAGGCTTGTATCTAAAGCTCATATAGAAACCTTGGTCTTTGGGGGGGGGTACCATATATATATATATATATATATCTATGTATATATACATGCGTGTATGTGCGTCTACATATATGTCTACACGGCAGCGGCAGGAGACTCCCGGCGACTCTGGCGAGCTGCTACTGACCTCCAGGCATTAACGTCCTTGCGGGATGGAATTCAGGAGCTCTTCCCTTTTGGGAAAAGTGTCGATCTTTGAAAACAGTTATTGCTTTAGGTAGGGATAGGCACATGGGAAGGTTCATATTCTCTGTACATATGTATGCATGGATGGATGTTTGGATGCTGAGACTTACGAAGCCTAATTAAACTCTAAGCACTCTCGACCCGCGGCAGGCAAACACCGGAACCCCAATTGTCTCATGTCAGTTTCTTTTGCCACGACTTGGAAGTTGCAACTTCGGGTTGCGCAGTTCTGCGGTTGCGAGGCAGCGTGCACTGCTCGGAAGCATGGCGGTGAGTGCCCAGGCAGGGTTCAGGGCTTGGGCAAGACACACAACAGCCTACCGACATTACGTGAGTAGACTACCCAGGATACCCCGCACGGCCAAAGTACCGAGCTGGGGCCTCTCATTCTCTCCGCTCGTGGGCATGTAAGCTGTCGTGACAAGCGGTTGGTGGGTCAGGGGAGGGCTATGTGGTTAGGGCTTCGGGTTTCAGAGTCTAGGGCCAGGGTTTGGGTTAGTATCAGAGCTCGAGCGTCTGGGAATAGAGCATGTAGGTCTGGAACGCTTGGGCAGGACGACACCCGCAACATCGCATAATTGTCCATGATGTCGAGGAGAGTATGCTTCTTTTGAACTCAGTGGCTATCAGATGCTTCTTTATTCCTAGTCCCGCGTCTCTGAGTTGATCTGATGCAACTACTGCTTATCAACTCATAGTAAGGATATCAGTGAGGTACCAATAGCAACGCTGCAGCTGCTGCTGCTGCTAGACCAAGCGGCTCCTCTGTGTTTGGAATTCTTAAAGTGAAGGCAGCGGATGGAAAAGATCTTCCTAAAACACTCAAACCCCAAACCCACCCAACAGAGAAAATAAAGTTGAAATGAACAATACCAAACTAATTCCGTAGCCTCTATCGACTGCTCCACCCACGAGCATTGGTAGCTCAGTGAGCCTAGTTGAGTTGCTCGGCTGTTGATCCTATGTTCCGTGTCCAGCAGCATAGAATCTATCCCGCTGTCCGGATACTTACCTCATGACATGGCACCCAAAGGAACTCCTTCGGGTAAAGATGCTGTCTTGACCCTCAGAGTCACGGCAACTTGCTGGCGTGAGAGGCAAGGCCTCATGTAGCCTTTGGCCGACTTCAACTAGTTAAACGGATCCTCCTTCGGGACAGGAAAGCTCCGGCATGAGGCAACATGGCTTTTTCGTTTGGACCTCGGTGACCTGGGCGGACTTGGGGTTGACGATTGCCAGGAACAGCCAGGAATGCTCGATGCCTTCTGAGGAATGAAGGTTGGTGAGCGATGATGGAAGCGCGCATAATGTTTAGTTTTAATGGAATGCTTGAGCTTCATCCTTTTTGCAGATCTCGTGCTCACGCCATAATCTTTGCTGCCGTAATTGCTCTGAGGAGACCAACGGCCGGTTCTGTGATGATGAATGAGACGTCATTGAAGAGGGAAACAAGAATTAAAGAACAAGCCCCTAGGCCGGACAAAACCCAGGAGTCGTTCATGAAGGGTCAAATTCTGAATGTCCATGAAGTGAGTCGTGTTGTAACCCTTTGCAAAGTAAGCAAGGGCAGAGAACTTAACTTACTCCTTGTAACACGGAAGGCAACGGAGCAAGCGAAATCCCAGCTATGAACACGTATCAACAACAAGCAGAAGCCACTGATTTAAGACTATAGTGGGTTGGAGGAGGAAATTCCAGCATAGAACCCCCCGACCCGACAAGCACCACTCCGCGGCAAGCCGAAGCAAGTTATAGTTATTTGTGCTGATTTTTGTACACCCAGGGAAGGCTCAGTCCAGCTCTGACCACTGAAGCTCAAGTGACAGCAAGGTGGACGTCGTCAGTCTCGCCCACGGAGAGGTGTCTCTGGCATCCGGGCCGCCCCGCCCCGAGGCAACGGAGCGTCTGGCCCAGCTTTGATTACGAATGCTGGCTTGACTACACCACCCTCCGGCTTTAATCTCGCATTCCCTTGGAGATGTCGCTCTGCGGAATACGATGTACTGGCACGTGAGACTGGGTGCTTGTGTGTCAAGCGTGTTCCGATTATATATTCATTCTGCACAATGAGTTTCGGCCAGATGCAGCCGCAGGCACTGGAATCTTGGGAGCTCGCGATTCGCAAGGTCCATGCACTCGTGTTGCAGAGTGAGGGAGTTGGAGCGTGCATTCTGGACCGACGTCTTCTGAAACTCTTTGTGCAGCTTTTGATTGCTCTGGACTCTGAGGCAGGCTTGACGCGAGGAGCACAGGCGAATCTTGCGCTGCATGTCACCAGGTCTACGAGCAACACATGTACAAGCTCGAGAAACAGGCCCAGTGATGATAGCGGCTAGCGTCTATGTGTCATGACTATGTGTCATGACTCCGTTTCGTTTCCTTCTGGCAGGCGCCTTTGGTTGCAATCCCTGTAGGCGTCATCTTCTGAATCATCGGTCAGCCCGCAGCACTGCGGAACATTTGTCTGTCACAGTCGCGCGATGGCCAGCACAAGCTGTCAGAGGGCAACGGCTCCCCAACTCAAACAGGTACCGGCAAAAACCGTCGGGCTGCATTTTACTTTACGTTCATGCCTTGACGTGTTGTTCTTCAGGTGGTTGCAGCGGACAACAAAGCTTTGGAGACCGGGTTGCATGTGCGTGGGCCCTGCCATGCGACCGGTGGAAGGACTGCACGGCAGAACTCTCACAATGTTTAACTTCGTGCAGCAGGAGTTGTCGTTTCATGTGCCATCACATACGCCTGAAGATGTTCATCCCGGCGCCTCATACATTCGATCCAATGAGAGCCGAGGGTGCAGTAGTTCAGGAGTGACACTAATGTCGTTGGAACTCACGCATGCAGGCCTGAGTAAGACCCCATGTTTAGGTATTGTATTGGTGTTGATATCGGTTTCATTGCAGGAGCTCAGGGTACAGATTTGCCGCATCTAGCCTTCACGGTTTTGAAACATGCAGTGAAAATCCGAAGGATTCATTCCAGACTCTCGGCTGGCCCGAGGCATGACTACTGCGGTCAGATCCAGCGTCAAGAGGAGGCTGGGAGGGGGCGTTCAATAGGATTTCGGGGACGTGCAGCGCAACCCACAGCCCAAAGCTGCAGGCGCCCTGACACTTGCAAGCCCAGCCACCTTCCCGCAGACAGAAGAGTCAAAAGCAGACCAGCACAGCCCAGCATTGCAGGAGAAGAGCGACCTTGCGAGTCAGGCAGCGGCGCGTCAGAGCTGGTGTGTTCAATGAAGCGGACAAGCTGCACCGAGTTTCACTGCAGAATACGTGAATAGGCTTGTTGTGGAACTGCAGAGGTCGAAGCAGGGGAGAAACAGCTCCAGAGCCTGCGCGAGGACACGCTTCCCATTGCAGCATTCGCTCCCATGGAGGGCACCGCACCTCATCACACACGGCCCACCCGCAGACTGATCAGCGGCCCATAGGTCATCCATTTGTATTCTTGGCGATTGTTGCGTTGCTGTGCTGATGTAACAATCTAAGGGCATGCGACATCATATCACGGGCACACGGAGAGACTGCCAACACTATCTCCCTCTACCTCAGGACATGGAGGCTACCCGCAAGAACTACGATGGTCAACTGGCACCTCCGCCTAGTTATAATGCTCTAAGTCAACAGTTCGTGTGGAAAAGCATTGCGGGTGTGGTGACCCGTTTGACCGCATCATCTTAGATTTCGGAATTCGGAGTGTACGTAGCAGACGTAGCAGAGCTGAATCGCTGAAGGGATCTCGAACATGATTCAGTGAGACTCAGTGAATAGTGTATGTTGCACAACAGCTTCTTGCCTCTGGCTTTGGAGCCAGGGCATGCTGACGGAACACATCTGCGACGGGCGCCTAAACCGATGCGAGCTGTGTGCACAACGCCCTAGCAGAGGATTGCCTACTGGATCATTTGACAAAGCGGTCATCCCGTGGTCTCGCCCAAGCCAAGCCTCGCAATGTGTCTCTAGCCGGGAAGCAGTACTGATTGCCAGTGAAACGCTAAGACTCTGTCCCTCCACCTCTCGGAGAAAGATGCGAGTCTCGCGACTTTGCAGGCGTCCTTGTTCTTGTTGCGTGGATTGTTGCTGTGCGGTTTTTTTCGGACTCTGCTGCCCGACTTTCATCCCATCTTAACAGCCTTGCGCTTCAGAACGCTTCGGAAAAGTGACGCATGGCGTCAGGCGCACAAAGTTCTTTGCGGCCGCTGCGGCATGTGGAATACCATGGGGTTTGCGACTCAGCTCTGCAGACAAGAGTGTTCGTGGACGACCTGAGATTCTGGCGACCCCATGGGACGTCCCGTCTTGGGGCTGACCGTTCTGCAAACGCGAGCAAGCTTCGAGTGCTCAGGCCCATCATGACGGCAATTAGCCAACACCCTTGCACTGGAACGGACCCGCTTTTGCACATAAGGCTAGCAAAAATTTAATAGAACCATGCCAACGTCCCAAGACGATTCTACATTGCTGTAGCGACAGTGCCATGGCACGAAGCCGCCGCAGCATACTACTGCAGACAGCGCTGTGCCTGACTGCCTGGGAATGCTTGCGCACCGCCTTCATCAGGCCACGTGGTTTGCCAATCGCTACTATTGAACGATATCGAGCGTAGCCCAGAGCGATGCAAGCTGCGCAAGGCAGGCTTACTATCCCCCCTAGTTACCCACAGGCTGCCGGGACCCCGGCGCTCAGCACTCACAGCTTCACACGCTGCCGTGCGGACCATGCCGACCCTCGGAGAAACCCTTCGTCTCCATGTTTGTGGTTGGGATGTCATGCAAGTCAGAGACATATACTTTTATGCTGTACACCTCGTTGACCGAGTCACATGTAATACATTACATGAAGTTCCGGAGTGTGTGTATGCATGTATGTCGTGCTATACATGTGTATATATACATATTTACTTATTGTGTTTGTTTGTTTATATCTTTATATATATATATACGTATAGGGAGAGAGATGGAGGGGTTGACTTGATCGTTAATGATCGCGCAATGCTGCAATTCATGCATTAGTACTGTGAGTACGAGGAAGTCTTTCTTCGACGCAGACAACGTGACCAAGCGAGAGATGGTTGGCTTATCAGAGTCGGCGCGTCGAGCGATTCAAGCTACCGAAGTGGAGCAAGCTTCGAAGTTGGTGATGTCAGACATCTACTGCGCGCCCTCCACAGTCCATGGCTGGGGTGTGTTTGCAGGGCGTGACTTCCGCAGAGGCGAGATCGTGCACGAGTCACCGGGGCGGCTGATTGAGGGGCTACCCGAGTGCATTACGGACGACGTCTTCGCAACCACGCAGGTCCTTTGGGAGAGCGAGGCAGGATTTAGCACTTCATGCAGAGCTCATGCCGGGTTACACTTAAAGTAGGATGCCGAGCAGCGCAGCTTGAAACAAATCTGCACGGAGTAGTTAGGGGCTCGTCTTCCGGAGACAACAACATCCTGTGCCGATGACTCTGCGCGTCCTCCACATTACACAGACCACGCATGATTCCCTATGGTAATGGGATTTAGGTACAGGTGTTGTTGACCCCCTAGTGAAGTTGAGCTCCTGCAAGTCCTGCGACCTGCGCCGATCAGAATCCAGGCAAAGAACTACTCGGTCTTGGGCCTGGGCTTCGCGTCGTTGCACAACCATGCAGAGGCACGAGCCTGGGCTCTCAGCCATGCCGGGTCGGTGCCTGTGTTTTTCGCTGGTCCCGTCAGGATCCAAATACCGAGTTTTCATGGGAACAGCGCCGAGAGCACGGTCGGAGACTCGTCGGCCGCTTCTACACCCTCAGGCAAGTCCCATCGGACCCAGGGTCCGTGACTGTGAAGTTGGTGAAGCTGCGACTTTTGATCTTAGTCAGAGGCCCGTCAACAAGGACGAGGAGCTTTTCATCTCCTACGGGCCAAAGTGGTTCGAGTCGAGGAGTCTTGCACTTCGTTGGCTGACTTTGTGTTTGGGCGCCTTCTGACTGCGTCGAGGCTTCGAAGTGCACATCCGCTATCAATTGCGGCTTCAATGCCAGAACAGTGCTATACAAGTAGAACTGAAAACGACGTAACGCAGTCCTGGATGCTCCGCTGAGTGGCTGTGCCTGTCCTTGCAGGAACATCTCGGCGATCCCCGTCCCAAAAGCCACGTGAACGGCCTCCGGTCAGTGACGCCAACCGCTACTTTCGGCCCCACATCCACAGCCAAGCATGCCAGTACTCACACCGGATGGCTTTGTTGGAAAAGTCACTGCTATTTAAACTCAGGTGCCAAAGGTGCTGAGGATGTGTGGACGGAATGGCATGTGGCTGCCAAAGCTCTGGAGATGTGGCAAAAAAGGCAAGCTTGCTGCTGACTGTACCGCAACCTGATCGTTCTCGTATGGATATCGTGAAGTGGAGTCACACCACTAGTCAGCACCATCAAGCTAGGTTCGCTGGTCAGTAAAGGACGAGGTGCTGCAGGACAGTCTAACCGTCGTACATGCATCGTACATGGAAAGATACCCCCTCATGACTGGCTTCGATCGGAGAGTCTCGTTCATTCTCGGATTTCAGCAGTGCGATTTGGAATCATTGGTGTTTTTCTCACTTTGGCCCTGCGTCGACTCTTTGCTTGGCCGAGGAAGCTGCTCTCAGATTCCGGCAAGGGGACGCGAGCCCGGCGCGACTTTCTGGTACTGTATCCACAAGCGGCTGTGTGTGGAATATGGAGAACTTGGGATGTCTGGAAGATTACATCGTTTGGATGGGATGCGGCAGCTCCAGTAGCATCACCAGTGCCATGGCAAGGGGAGTGGCAGTGGGCCTGATGAGCATGCATGGAGGTGTCAATGGCAGTCGCTATCGTAACTGTTTTCGTCGTTCTCCTCGGAGCCGCAGCAGCAGGAGGAACAGCAGCAAGAGTAGCATCAGAAGTAGCAGTAGTTGTAGTAGTAGTAGGAGGAGTAGTCGCAGTCGAAGGCAAAGTCGCAGTAGCAGTAGGAGTAGTAGTAGTCGTCGTAGTGGTAGTGATAGTGGTAGTAGCAGTAGTGGCAGTGGTAGAAGTAGGGGGTGGAGGGGTAGTAGGAGTAGCGGCAGTTCCTTAGTGACTCACTCTGTTGCTGCAAGAGTACCCGCTCCACCTACGACGACGGACGAACAAGCACTGCTTCGACTACTACTCGTCGTCGTTGCAGGACAAAGAAGACAACAACGACGACGACTGCTTTGCTGCTGCTGCAACCATCATCACCGTGGCGACGGCAATGACGACTTTACTTGTCCTGCCCCTGCTAGGTAAACCGCGACGCTACCACTGTCACCACCGCAGTCGTTGCTGCTCCGACGACGTGCTAGAAGCACCGCTTGTTGAGCTGGGGCTGGGGTTGAGAGCGACACTCGACAGGTGTCAGACCTGCGGGGCGAAGGTTCTCAGCACTGACTGACCCGCCGGGCCCGGTCTTTGCATCGTGGAGGCATTTGATGCGCAATGTACGATTGCCTGTCTCAACCCTCAAAGTTGAAGTTAGCGCATTCCGTGCGTGCAACCAGCGCTCAAATTTGGACCAGGCCTTGACCAGGGAGCTGCATCGCGAGGACACGGTCTCGCGTTGGCCTCACTTGCAACGGTGATCCTTCGAGACGCTCTGGGGGCTGTGCGGGTGCTTTTGTTACTTGCTGCAACTTACCGTATGCCCAGCCTCTCGGCTGAGGTGTGACAGTGTGACATCCAGGAAAGCAGCAGACGCCAAGATCCCGATGCTGCACCTCGTCCATGAAGTTTCAGTTCTGACAGAAGGCAACTATTGTGAGAGAGCATGTAGTTGGTTGCTTGTCGCTTCATGCATGTGTAGGCATGTGAATCCTGCTGCGTGGCTTGTGTGTCCTTTTGTAACGATCGCGCGATCATGAAATATGGCGAAATTCAATATATTCAATGGAAGGTGGTCAGATTAGGTCGGCAAGGAGGAGCGGCTGATTGAATCGACATGCTCTAACATGGTCATGTGGCTGAAATTCAATGCAGGTGCGGAGTTACCTGTGTCAAGGTATGCATATGAGTGTGTGCGCGTACACGTGTGTGTGTGTGCGCACATAAACCGGGCTTTGTCTAATGTGGTGTCAGGTCTCGGGCATGAACTGGTTCCCTGACCGCTGATCTGCTGCAACCATTCAGGTGTTCAACGAGTCGCTGCTTGAACGCGTGTTAATCGAGCGCCTGAGCACGGAGTGGACTAGCGTTTTCCGGCAAGACACCGAACACCCCGACGACGGACAAGGTTTGGTGTCGCAAAGAGATCCGCGCGATGCGAGACGTATCGCCGACCGCTGACACAGTGCGAAAAAAGGCTTGCCGGTTGCCGCCAGGATGCATGGAAAGTTTGTCCCAATGGAGACAGTCCCGGAGACTGCTAGTTTCGCATGAAGCATGCGTGCATTTCGCACCTTTCGGCTCGTTTCCTCACATGCATAATGCAGGCAAAAGAGATTGGATCGCAGCCATCACCAGCATCAACCAAGCCCATAGTTCAAGCGGGGCAGCACGAGTCTGCTTGGTAAGTCGCCATCCCACCTCTTGCAGCCGCGCCGCTGGAAGCTCAAAACCAGGGAAAAAAAGAGAGTGAGGAGGGGTTCGAGATAGCGACAGACGACATTTTGACAATCCGGAGCTTGCTAAGGCCATGGCTTTGCAGATGCAGCAAATGCAGATGCAGCAGCAACAGCTGCAGCAGCATCAGCTGCAACAGCAGCAGATGCAGCAGCTGCAACAGCAGCAGCTGCAGCAGCAGCAACTGCAGCAGCAGCAGATGCAGCAGCAGCAGATGCAACAGCTGCAGCAGCAGCGGCAGATGCAGCAGCATCCACAGATGCAGCAGCAGCAGCAGCAGCAGCAGCAGCCGCACATGCAGCAAAATCAGGCCAATCCATGCAGCAGTGGAATGCATGCTGCAGTGAGAAGCTTGGTCGTATTGTCGCTTGACCTGGAGCCTCCAGCGGGCCCGCATAGCGGAGTTGCATGCCTTTGGGTCATCATGGCCAACCTTCAATTGCTCGGGTTGAATGTGTTCACACGGGTGATCCTAGTCACTAGTCTCAGGATGTCTCAGGGTGCTGTTGGGAGGCCAACTTTGGCGGTGCCAAAGGAGGAGCTGGCTGCAAAGGAGGCAGGAGGGCCCGGGTCGTCGGGTCAGTTTGGGAAGTGCATGCCCTCTCTTAAATCTTAGGATTCCGGATGCCGTGCTAATCCCCGACGTCCCGGCATTATCCCAGATTTGCGCAAGAGGATGCATGCTAGCTTTGATGCAGCCAGTTTAGACTCACAGCGCATTGTTGGACAATTGTTCAATTGGACTAAGTTGCTAGTTGATGGGAATCCTGCCTTCTGCAAGGTATGCCTGGCAAGGGAGGGCAGGGGCCGGCAAAGACCTCAGCTTGTGGCAGCATACGGCAGTCCCACAAACCGCGTTGGGTTGGGGTGATCACACGTCCTGCTTCAGACTCAGGCACGGCCCCCGGCGCCCCCTCCACCGCCCGGAGCGCCTGGCGCGTCGGCGCAGCCCCGTGCGACTGGGCCGGGGCTCACGGTGACGGGGTGCAACAACGCACCTCGGCACTTGTTTGTAGTTTCGAGATATAGGTGCTTTGTGTACACAGTGAACTGGTGCAATATCCTACGGAGCTATGCGGCAATGCAACAAGCCAAGGAGGAAGGCCCAAAAATCACGGCCCTAGGATCAGCATAAGGATACTGTCTCTCGCTTCGAAGACCTACTTGCTGCGAAGTGTTTGAATATCAGGACACCGTTCGAAATCTCATCAACGGCTCCTATTCCGTAACGGGGGAGAACCACGGCAAGCCCATGTGGAAGAAGGACCTCCGGCTTCAGCCAGAATGCCTTGCCGTTTCCACTTGCATCGACAGGGAAGTCTCGCAGTTGACTAAGTGACCTCACAGGACCACTCTGGGCCTGGTGCCGGAGCCTCGGCGAGAGTCCGCCTCGAGCCTGAGGCGGTTTAGGCTTTCGTGCGGTGCAACTGCTTGCACGAATGCTGCTGGGATTCAGTGAGCAGCCTCAGGTCCCAAGACAGTGTTGTCTGACAGCTAAGTGACATCGCCTCCTTTTCTCAGCTGCCATGGGAGTCGCTCTTGCTTTGGCTGCTATGTTGCAGCTTTCGCTGGGTGAGGCCTCAAGTCCCCGCGAATGCCACAACATCATCAACAACTGTTATGGCTACGACCGATCCGACGTCTGGTTCGCCCTGGCATACAAGGAGTGCCTCACAGTTTGCCCTCATGTTGGTCATGGTGGAGAATGTCGCGACGAATGTCAGTGGACGACGGAAGGTTGGTGGAGGGTGAACAGGATGGACCAGGTCCAGGTTTGCCTGAAAAGGCAGGAAACCTTGTATGCTTTTTTTCAATGGAACCGTGACAGAACTCCGGACAGTACCGCCATCACTTTCCTCACCGGAAGGTATCGGTTTTGTCTACAGAAGGGAAAAACAAAGGTTCACGAATTCAAGCGAGATGGCAGGACCCTTTACTTCGATAAGCTTGAGGAACATGAGGCTGAGGAATGCTGGAGGTTGAGTAGAGAAGCCAAGATGAGGACCTTTACAATGGTGGACGATGGCTCATACGGCAGTGCCACAATAAGTGGCTCCTGCGCAGGAAATGCCAGATCTACCAACCAGAGCGAGGTCGTGAAATTCACTGCACCAGAGCTTTTGACGGAAGCTAACTCCACCCTCCCGGACGAGGCCACGCGTGTGCTTGATGAGGGAAGGGAAAGCGTCGTGGTTTTGAGAAAGGATCCCCTGACGCATGCCTACACAGTAGCAGAGAAAGACTATCCTGAGGCTCTTTTTTTACCTTGAGCCTTCAGCGACCTTGTGTACAAACCATGGCTGTCACAAAGAGGACGGCATTCTTTCACACGGAACGCCGAACATCGGCGCCTGCAAAGTGTCGCACGGAAACTTACAGACTTAGTGCAAGTGCGTCTCGTTGCTTTTGGACTGGAAAGGGCGGGGGTCAGACCGCAGATTGAAGGTCACCGTTCTGATCTACTACTGGGACGAGCGGGACGGGCCAAACTTCAACGGTTGGTGGATCGGCCCCAAGGCTGAGCCACTGCAAAGCGTCGTGGGCGAATCTGTGTTTGTCCCAACAGAATAGATGCGACCTTGATTGGCTGCCAGGTTGGTGGTGATCAGGTGTGGTCGCAGAATGAGAGCAGGCCGGAACCAGTTGTTTCCGCACATTGCATGCAAGAAGTGAGACACGGTTTTTTGTCTTGGGTTGTTCACGGCATCTCCGTTCAGCCAGGTCGGCACCATCGCCACCGACACTAGGGTGGAAGGTGCCTTGGGATGGCCCTGTGGATGCCACGCTCAAGCACCACGGCCGCAAGGGCAGGCAGAGCCGTAATGTGCGTGGTTGTTTGTCCGTCCGTGTGTGTGTGTGTGTGTGTGTGTCACCATCGATATCTATATCGATGTTTGGATATGAGAAGGGCAGCGGGAGAAGCGCAGGAGTGAGGAGCCGGGTGATAAGCTGTGCGCTCCGGGACATGTCACGCAAAGTAACTTTTAAGCTCTGGAAGAGTACACGGTTCTTCAATACCGGGATCCTCTGCAGCAAGGGTACAGATGACTCACTCGTAACTGCAACGGGTGCTTGATGGTGTTGTCTTGGCTTCCCAACTCTTTGCCACCCTCGTGCCGACACGGCTCACCTGTACTTTCTGCAGAATAGCAAGGGCGACGGACGCGGAAGCACAAAGACAGACACATATTGTATTTTGCATGTCAACTGCCTACTCAACACCTGGGGTCGCACATCGGTACGCTTGCGCAGAGGCATCTCCCCTCTGTGGCCCAACGAAAGGAGGGAGAACAAGATCCATATTTCCGTGGGATACTGCTTGAACTTACAAAAGGGGAGGTCCGAGACGGTAGACTCCAACACCCCCAACCTCATGGACACGGCAAAGTCACTGACAAAGCACTCGCTTCTGCGAGCTGGGGCAACCACGACACGCATGTGCTTTGCCGTAGCCGGCCAGAGCTACACACTCTGTAGCACTTCGGAACTTTGTGTCTAATCCGCCGACTCATGCAAAGTGGCGCAAGTCACGTGGAAGGAGTGGGCGCGAATCAGAAGCAGTAACGGAGGAAATGAGGAAGCTAAGTAGCCCTCCTGTGCAAGTGCACCACAGTACTTTGGGTGTGGAGTTGCATTGACACGTGACTGTACATGAACCTGCTGGTCCTGATCTTCAGATGTTGAGCTAGCCGTCCTCAACATGTAGGGTCATGCACCGCCTCGGCTTTGCTCGGGTGTTCTGTTTGTTCTAGCATGCTTTATCACTCTGGTTATCTCTCGTTGCTTATGTCTCTACGCATGGTCTGTTGGCATCTGTTACGCAGTCGTGATCGTACCGCAGTGCTGCAGAGAATTTGACAGTCGCTCAGGGTTGCCCACGCCGGCGGTGCGCCCCCGGTCGGAGGCAAAGGCTTCCCAGCCCCTGGCAAGGGCGCCCCGGCTTTACCAGCCCCTGGCCCCGTCAACGCCCCTCCCAAAGCCACCCCACCGCCGCCTGTGAGTGCTCCGGGCGCCATGGGCGCTATGGTGGGTTTCAAAGGCGGCAAGGGGCCTGGCAAAGGCACCAAGGGCAAGGCCGGTGGTTTCTGTCATCTCTCTCTCTCGCTCCGCTCTCGCTGTGAGCCTTACCTGATACCGTCAGGGCCCAGCGGCTGGCAAAGGCCCTGCCATGGACCCGGAGGCATTCCCTCGAATGGCAGCAGTTGGAGTCACTTTTGCACATTGGTTGTGCAGGAAATGAAAAGGAGACAGATAGAGCGAGAGCAAGAGCAGAAAAAGCGGCAGGACAGCATGTGCCACGTACTGATAGATTGGCTCAGCTGATGTTGCCTTTGGAGACAGGAATTGGTAACAGTGAGATTGCCGTGCTTCATGCTTACACTGCGCAGGAGGACATGAAGCGAAAAAGAGAAGAGGATGAAGTCAGAAGAAAGGACTAAGCTTAGCAGTTTGATCGATACAGGCAAGCATGCGATGCTGGCTGTTGAGCAAGACCCAGTTATCTCGCCAGGAGCATAACGCTGTGCTGGCCGTCCGCAAAGCGATACAAAAGGCTTGTCTCGTCGAATGTTTCCGGCGTGATGATGGAATGCCTGCAACCTGCAGGTGCGCACAGCCGTTCCCGCAGCTTGTCCAGAACGGTTTAGACATCCGTTTTTTGCCAAGATGTTTGCAAAGCTTGCCTTTGTACTGTGTCAAAAATCGATCTCCGGGCCCGATGATATCTTGCACGGGTCTCGCATATTCTGCGTTCTTCGTGACAGGACGGACAGCCTTCCTTGTGCAGCCACAGGGAGCACTGATGAATTAGTGGTACTATAGGGGCCAAGATAATTACCAATACTATTTTGGGGGTTCCTCGTATAGTGGGCCGCAAACCTTATTCTAATTGTAAGGCCCCTACATTACTTGTGACGGCGGTTGGTGAGCGTTGATCTCCGCATCTTAGGACAGCTACGATGCGCTGCGCCTGCAGCTCGAAGAAGCCCTGGCGGCCCAATTGGAAGCTTGGGAAGCGACAGTTCCTCACTTCTGCTTTGCTCCGCTAGCTCCTTACTGTCGTCTGAAGTATACTGTTAAAGTTGGATCATGCGCCCGAACTTCTGATGCAAACCAATGTGTATTCCAAGAAGCCGACGATGCCGCCGGATCAACCACTGCCCACGAGCAGTAGTGACTGGAGTCGACTGAAGATGAGAGTTGTAGGACGGAGCAGACACACGTGCCACACCCCTTAAAACCCAGAAAACATGGGCTGTGACGACTAAGGAGTCCCTGGGTAGCCAAGCCCCAAAGGCGCGGTCTTCCATCTCAGGGGGCCGGGGGCTGCGCGGGGTGCTTTCCGATGCTTCGCAGATGTCGTCTGTGAGACTTTAGGATTATGGCTTGAAGAGAGGAATTCTGCTTCCAGCAATGCGCATATCTCGACTATGACAAATGATGCACTACGCCCGATTGGTTCCAGTTTCAGGAGAGCGTGGACAATAGGTTGTGTGATTGCAACACACAACCTACGGCGTGTTTTACCTGCTACGGATGCCTGGCTGAGCTCCTCGCTGCTTCGACAATGTTTCCATTGGAGCCCCTCGGGGCACGCAGGTCGGGCAAGAGGCTGAGCAAGCGCTGCATCAGACGCAACAGCGCCCCTCAGGCTGCATTTTCGTGGAGTAGAACCTGCAGGCTTCGGTACAAATAAGCTAAAGGCATTTGTACTCGGAATTGGCACTGAGACCCCATGATTACTTTTTGCTGGGCGGTTGCATCTTCCAAGGTCCATCCATCAGTGAGGCTGCAAGTTCTTTCCAAGCTGCATGTTCCTGTAAGGTGCATTGCACACCCCAAATCCAGGTCTAACCCTACCTCCTTCGGGTTGTGTATCATAGCAGTTCCGCTATTGAACAGTTCCCATGAAATCTTTGTCTCCCCGCCCCTTGCGACCGTGGACACATCAAGCTTCAAGCCTTTGGTGCCTTGTTGGCGTTATTAGCGAGCAGCGAAGACAGAGCTAACCCTACCAGGCCCGACGAAGCCCCCAAGCGCTCATGCCTCATATCCGATCCTTGGAGCCCAGGCCTTGATGAGATGCATGATAGGAGACTGCAGGAGGACAACTATCGGGAGCTTGAGGACCCCGGCGCGATGTGAAAATGCTCGGAAGGTGCGACAATGGCATGAAAAAGACTAAGCACGATGCATGAAGAGGCATCAGGTATTGCCAAGTAGCTTCTGATGAGCAGCTAATACTTGTTGTGTGCATGATACACAGACACGTACATGCACGCGCACACACACACAAGAAGACAGACAGAGTCTCAGTCATGAGGCTCATATGCTTGGGCTCTTACCTTCGACGCATAGGAGGATACAAGCCGCCATGTTCCAAACTTGCCCTCACACTTGCTTATAGTTTCGATGGCTTTGTGACATTTCGTTTCCCTACCACTTCTGACCCGAAGGCTGCTTCTACTTGTACCCAGCCGTAGCAAAGAAGTTTACTCGAGAGCGAACAGAAGGACAATCACGTGCAATGCTGGTATTCCTGTTTTCATGTGGTTTGCACATCTAACTATATGCATAAGAGCCCTAGCCCTAGCAAACCTTTGACGACAGATCAGCACCTGATCGGTTTCAATGGTCTTAACGGTACGGTAGGTCTGCGAGTCTGACGGCTTTTGGTGTTGGGGCTATAAGTTTTCGGGCATCGCGTTTGTGCCAAGTGGGGAGGTAGGGGAACGGGAACAGGATATTGGTTGAGTAATAGATGACAGCTGGAGGTTGTGTCTGCCCTCAAGAGCCTTCAGCAATGCTACTAGAAGTCATGGCATCATCGCATATATGTGCCATTTCTTCCTACGAGGACCAGCGCCGCAAAGATGAAGTGCAGCAGGCATCGTCCGATGAATCGGTTTGAGCTGGTAAAGCGGCGTAGATCAGCAGCACCAACTCCTTTTGTGTAGACTTCTGAACAGCGTCTTCCAGGGAGCTTTGCTGCAGACGGCAAGACTGTTGCAGCAAATGATGGCAGTACCTTACCTATCCCAAACACAGGGGCCTGGACAATCCCAATCAGCCACCGATCTGAAGAGTAACTCGCATAAATCCCCTCCAGTCCAAGCCCGAATGCAGAATCACAAGCAGCAGCACGACCATCATCATCCCAGATATCATTTTTATGTGTATACATCTGTATATATATATATATATATATATATATATATATTTATGTGTGTGTGTCATGCAGTACAATATAACATGTCAATTTATGATGCTGTACTGTAATATAGCATAGTAAAATAGAAGGACATTATACAATATGTAGTATAGCTAAGTATAGAACAATGTGCTGTATTTTGATTGCAATATGGTAGAATGTCACATATAGTAGAATGTACATATAGTAGAATGTAACATATTTACCATAGTCGAATCTCATCCAACATAATATATGTGTATATATATAGCGTATTACAATATCACGACAATATGCATTTGAAAAATTATGTTTGATTTTGCATGTGTGGATATACAGATATTATAATTTAGGTAGCCAAAAATAGATCATAGAGCAATGCAGCTATTTCTGCAGTTTAAGCCAGGCCATGCTCCTGGAGGCGGAAGCCAAGGCCGCAGCAGAGGAGCAGCAGGGAAAGCTCCAGGAGGCACCCCTGGGTTTCGTTCAGGTTTGGGGGTTTAGGCTCTCGATCCTGGGTCTTGTTTTTCGGGTTTGGGGTTTTGTAGGGTGTAGGCCTTTAGGCTCCAGGGTTTCAGGGTGACTGGGGGTCGGGCCTGCGGCTGGATGACTTGCGATGCCCGGAGTAACGACAGTGATCATCAAAATGAGTCACAGATTCAGATGTGGTAGCAAGAGTACAGAATGTACAAGTGTAGTGGTACCTGCACAGCCCGCTTCAGATTGCGAACTTGAGGGGTGTTTGTGTAGTGAGTGTCGAAAGCTGCATGTGGTCCCCCGGCGAGTGCCTGAACAGGTTTCCAACCCACATTTGCCAGCTTTCGCCAGATCTCTCATTTTGCCTAACCTCCACAGTTGGAAGTGCACAGACTCGAAGGCCCGAATCCGAAAACAAGCCAACGGCCCTTCAGGCGGAGGAGGTGGCGAGGCAGTTAGAGAACGGGAACCAGGATCCAGCGAAGATGCTCATTGCCGTCGAGGCAGCTCTGATGCTTTAATTTCCCAGAGCGGCAAGAGCAACAACGGTGATAGGATGTCACAAGGCTTACCCGCGATGTGGTAGTGGCAATGCCTGACCGAAAGCATCGATACTCGATTATTGCACAGATTGTGGTGGTTTGATATCTTTGTTACCTAGGAAGCCTTGCTTTCCTCGGTGTTCCAAGGCTGCGGTGAAGTCCATTGCAGCTGCTCGGGATGAGGCACATGTTTGTATTTCAGAGTTTCAGCTTATACTTTGGCATGATAAGCAGCTTAAGACCCAGCCGAACGAGATCAGTAACGCTCTTTTCATCTTCTTCTATCCCCGCATGATTGTCACCGGCGCCATCAGCAAAATCTTCAGTAGTATTGTCACTATTGTTGCGTCAACTGCGCCTTATGCGCGTTCAGCATCATGCCCGCTGCCACCACCAACATCACCGTCATCATCACCAGTATCGTCATGGTCAGCATCACCATCAGTGTCAGCATCATCATAACACAGCAGCCGTATCGCTGTTTGTCGGATCTGTCCGCCGCACATCATCGCGTTCAACGACATGCACCAGCACCAAACTGTCAATATGGAGCGATTACTGTGATCATAAACGTCCTACAATCGTGCTCAGCATCCATTCTTCTGAGTTGATGGTTCTTCGACATGACTTGTTAATTTGTTCTCGCTATGAGTCACGATAATCAGCGTATATCAAGGTTACCTTTACAAAGTAACATTTGTGACTTGAGCAAACTTCAGCTGTGTAGATTGCTTGTATGTCAGGTCTGGGAACAGCAGTTCTTGAAGTGTCTGTGACTGACGATACCTGTATTTCCTGACTCCGACAATCACTTGGACGATGTGAGAAGTACCTGAAAAGGAAGGGATGACCGCTCATACTCATCGGCTGCGACGCAAGGTCCTCTCTATCTAGCCTTGAGCCTTCGAGTTCATCGCCCTAAGGCCCAGCGAACCTTATGTCCGTGACTTGTAAGCTGCGACAGGCGCAAAATGTGCGTCAAGGCATCCTCGACAAGCAGCGAGGCTTGAGTGAAAGCGAGGCAACGCGAAAAGTCAGACGAACCTCGGCTTGTCAAACGGGGCTTCGAAGGTTTTGTTGGAACTGGGTTCATGGCAGGACCATCAGGCTTTCGTTGAGGGCTTGACGCTGTAGCTGCTCGCAGGTTTCGCTGCTGTAGAAGCGGGGAGACAATCAAGGCAAGTGTCCATCGTAGGTATCGTTTTTTGTCCCATTCTACTACAACTGAAAGGAACAGACCTACATTACGTCCATCTAGACGTAGTAGATGTATTCGCACGTGTCGAGCAGCGCGTGTGTATACATAATTTTAAAACATGCAACTGCAAAAGTGTGTATGCATGTACGCCAATGTACCCAACGTGTTTGTAACGTGACGTGTGCATGTAGGCATGCATGTCGGTGTATGTGTGCATACATGCGCAAACCGCCATGCTCGAGGAGAGGTCGTTGACATGGCGGCTCGGCTTGGGCGGAGTGTGGGCGCCTTCGAGAGACTGCTCGCCTCTGTCAGCAACCGCCGGCACAAGGCCACACCCGAGGTTTGCCAAATTGGTAGTTAGACCACCTCGTCCAGTACCAGTGCATATAGGCCTGAACTGAGAAGGCATACGTCAATTCCTCGCAGTTTGGCTGCAGTGCGTTCTTCATGCTGCAGTTTTTGCATGTTGACTCCTCCAGTCTCGGCTTGTTAAGCTATGGCAGTTGGCAGAGTCAAGTCTGCAATGACAAGAGCAGCCTGAGATGACCGCTCTCCGCAGACTCTGTCTGCAGACATGCGCAGTCACATGCAGCCCAGCATCAATCGTGACATTTGTGGGCAGGAAGAGGGAAAAGCGCTGGCATTGAGGAAGCTGAACGAAAAGCCGCTTGGCTGAGGATTCTCCATGACTTAGCTAAAAACACTTCAGAGCATTCAGACTGCCGCTGAAGACCTGCATCAGATGTGTGTAATGTCAGAGGGGACGAGGCGATGCATGTGTTTGTGAGGCTCCCTCTCTTCCTATGTTAGATGTCTTGTTTGTGGTCCCTGCAATCACGTTGTTGCATCTCATAGCCCGAAGCACGAAGAAAGGAAATCCGAGTTTGTGAAGTTCGACCTTGACGGCGACCAGCAACTCAACCGATCCGCACCTCTCCTTCTCAATGGAACAGTGTGTTGTATGTCAGTACTTTCTATTATTGATGTTCTCGCCGTTCATGCGAGGAGCGGGTTCTGCGAGTACGTCCCACACATGTTTACACAGGAGGAACTACAGAGGATTAGACTCAGCATGCCTGAAGGTTGCACAATGGGATTGCAGAATCGCGGAATCAGTCTACGTAGGGTTCTGATTGAATTTTAAAAAGGTGGCAGGGCGGTTGAGGATAGGCTTCATGCCTGCACCGATTGAAATCCTGTGAGCATCAAGCTGTGGCATGGTTTCGTTGGTTGCCACGACTTCATCGAATCCCTCCCTTACTGCGAAGGAAGTCGAGGCCTACGCCAAGGCGACGTTGGCGTACGAGCTGCCGGCAGATGTTTTGGACGCCATAGCCACGGGGCTGCAAGGGAACAAAGCTGGATAGATTGTCTGTTAGCAGGACAGCATTTAACATAAAGTGTCTGGACTGCCAGCACTCAGAAGCGTTTGTCACCGGCATTGGTTGACAGTAGAGCGGAAACCTCCAAAGACACATGTCACGTGCTGCAGCATGTCCCACGAAGCTTCTTCCTGGTGCTAGCCGGCCATCAGACCTCTTTGTGATTTCCAATAGCGGAGTTGCGATTCGAACATGAAGCTCCTTCCCATCACGGCTGAGGTGAAGAAGCTGGACCCCGTCACCTTGACGAAGTTCCGGCCACTGCATCAGAAGTTGTATATCGCCAAGTCGGAGATCCTTGCGCGAAAGGCCGACCGGAAGACGCAAGCAAAACCCAGTTTAGATTGAATAGTCGATGCTCGTGTTGCACACTGCTACCAAAAAGAAGCTGTACATTATGTATATTGTTGCGGGTTCATGTTACGAATGCCTGAGGCCTTCGAGTTGTTTGATATTTGTTGTTAGCTTCAGCAACTTTGCCTGCATCGTCTGCACTGCATAGCACCCGAGGCCAGTAATACTCCAAAGCTGTTTTGCGGTTTTCCGGATTTTCGCGTGCGTGCCATGCATTATACACTATAGATTAGTATTGCTGAGTTTATCAGACTATCTGGCTTTGTCATGCGTCAAGTTTCCCGATGCTATCCACCATGTCAGGCTTACAGCTTTCTGGTCTCTCGGTACCCCCTGCCACGGCAGATCTCCGGCTCATCAGCCCATGCCGTACTTGTGAACCCCATCCAAAAATGACAAATTCCTTGTCCAAAGCCCGCGCATATAAGTGTGGATTCTGCACCCGCTCGGCGTGGTGCATCGTCCTCTTGTTGAGCTCGTCCCATCACGGAGGGTTTCTGAATGCGGAAACCGCAGGCTTGCAAACTCGCCGTTATCACCGGCGCGGCTGTGGTGACATAGATCGTTGACCGGGATGTTATCGTATCTCATCCGTGCTCAGGCCGTTCAAGGTGTTGTGCACCTCCAGTGAAACCTTAAGCCTTATATGAGTTATGAGCCCCGCAAACTCATGTGAACCCATAGACAACGCCAGACAGACTCTGGGAGGCGCGCTCCGAGGAGGAAAAGCGGCAAGCAGCGCTCAGAGAGACGCGCGCGGCGGCCACCAGCGCTCCTCGCCGTTAAGTTTCTGGCTTCGTCCGATTGAGTCGGTTGAGGTTGCATGCACATTTTGATACGTCCCGTGTATACCACTGTCCAAGTTGCAACAGAACAAACTCATTTTCACAAGGGACGTGTCCGAGACCTGGCCTTCTATATACCAGTAGCCTAAACCCTGGCTGTTCGAGTGACCCGGTTTGTTTGGGACAGCGCCCGCTGCTGTAAAGGTTTCCTATGGGTTGTTTACGATTCGGTTCTGGGCTTCGGACGCACGGCAAGGACCTGAGTTCGTCGTCGAGTCTGTCAACACACCCGTTTCAAAGCCTGACCGTTCTCCGGCGGGTTTCGGATGCCGTCGGCACAGCATCACTTAGTAGCTGAGTCACTGTGGTTCTTGTCGACCTTTTTTGGTAGCCAGGTGGTTGGAAGGGTTTCGCGTTTTATTGCAGCGAGGGACATTATTGCACAGTTTGTTGCGAAAGCGCTTCTGAAGAAGACAGCGGCTGGTGTTGATTCAATAGTTTGTGGAAATTTGAGTACTGCCTTCACTCTCCGAGCACAGGATCGTGTTGAGTGCATACTTTGCCAAGTTCTGCCACTGCGCTCATGCCCTCGCCCACTGTGGGTTTCCGACAGGCTCTTCACGAACTGTTTCAGGGTTTCAGCTGGGCTTTACGACCAAAAGTCCAAGGCACGGTTTGGGTACAGAAGCCCGCCGGGCGGTGAATCCCGCAATCGCAATGGGCGAATGGGCGACTCTTGAAGCTTGGGCTTCGCTTCGGGCTTCGGGGTCAGGTTCTCGAGAAGGCGGAGGATGTGCAGAAGATTGCGGAATCTGCTGCCATCGACGCAGAAGAGAAGATTCGGTTCCTCTCTGCGGAAAGGCCTGCAGAAGAGCCGTCGCCGCAAGGGTGTAACAACAGCAAGCGCGCCACGACAAGTGATGTCCAAAGAGAGGTGGTTGGTCACAGACAACTTCTCTGGCCACCCTGCAAGCCTCAGCTACCTGCATCAAGACTATCAAGTTACATCAAGGTCATGAATGTACACATGTCGGCAAGATGTGGAATAGACTTAGGGCGGGAGAGGGTTCACAACCCTGCACCGACAAAGGCCACAGCCAAAGCTTGCGGGTTTTCTAGCAGCCACTGGAAGGATCCCTCCGCCGAATATCCCAATACCCTCCGGATTATGAAGGCCCCTGTATGCAGCAGGCCTGATGCATCCGAGAAGCTGGAGGGGGCTCTGGCCGAGGTCGACGCCTTGGTTCAGACTCTTGGGTGGTCTCCGTGAGCATAGCTTGTCCGGCTAGCTTTTCGGGCCTTGGGTTTTTAGGGCGTAGTTTACAGTTTTAGTTTTCTGCAGCCGCTAGCAGCTGTTTCTCACTAGAATCCAGCGACAGCCAAGGAAGATAGACGAGGCGGTGTGCCCAAGCAACCCTGTGCAAGTGAGACAAGCCAGCATACAGTAAATTTGGCTGCACACACCCACACACATATCACTATATGCGTGTATAGTGCATATATATATATATATATATATATATATGTATATACGTGTATACGTATATATGTGTATATATATATACATATATACATACAGAAGAGAGGGAGGGGGAGAGAGAGAGAGAGAGAGAGACTGTGAGTTGTAGCGTCTGCCAAGTCAACTGTTGTGCTGCTGACAAACGGGGCGAGCCAGAGAGGGGCGGAATACCCGTCCGAGGGCCACTCGCGGAGCTGCTAAGGCACCCGTGCTGCGGGTACAGCGGGAGCTCTGTATAAGAAAATACTTTCTGGGACGAGGGTGGTCTGGTTTTCTTATTTGATAGCGGCTGGTTTCGTGGGAATATTTCATCTGGGATGGGTCAGGGTAGTATGGTTTTCTTAAGGCCGTTTTCTTATGTAGCTATGCCCAGGGCCCAAGACCCCCAGATGAACAAGCGAAGACTTGCCCCAAACATCAAACCCAACAGGCCCAAGATCTCGAAATTGAGGCATAAATCTTCAAACACAGTCATAATGCAGCACCGTATCCCATTCTACAGTCGTTCAAACAGTTTTCCTCCAAACGAAGTTGTATCAGGCTCAATGGAGGCCTCAGGATCAGCCATCGTTCCAGAACCCACCTAAATAAGAAAACGAGACTCTGGAATTTTCTCATTCTCCTTCGTTCCAGAACCCACCTAAATAAGAAAACGAGACTCTGGCATTTTCTTATTCTCCTTCGTTCCAGAACCCACCTAAATAAGACAACGAGACTCTGGCATTTTCTTATTATCCTTCGTTCCAGAACCCACCTAAATAAGACAACGAGACTCTGTCATTTTCGTATTATCTTTCGTTCCAGAACCCAGCTAAAGACCACGAGTGTGACAGAACGAAACAAGAAAATGAGACTCGCGGACGAGGGTACCCTGGTTTTCTAATTTTAGCAGTGCTTGGTATTTTATGTAGAACCCTATCAATCGCAAAATCCAGCGTCTCACTTTCTTAATCCAATGTTTTCTTAAGTAGTGCTGGCGCTGTACACCTTCAGAAACTCCTGTTGTGCAGTTCATGAGAGGGGTGCCTGCAACTCTAGTCTTTCGCGTGTAAAACCATGCACACCGCCAACAACGGGCGGCCGCTTGGGCGGGGGCTTGCTCCTCTAGCCTGGCGAAAGAAAGAGACTGAGAGATGCGCGCGTGCACACACACACACACATGTCTGTATGTTTCGAAGACATGTCTGTGGGTGCAGACATCTATGCAGTATGTAGGCAATTACATCACCTGTATGCATACATACATACATACATCTGGTTGCATATACATACATACATACATATATATATATATATATATATATATACTTGTAGAACATGGTTGACAAGGGTCTCCGGGCTCGTGAAGCCTCAGCCCAAGCATGCGGTTGACAGTGCTGTGGTCGAAGCGATGATAGGACTTGCAGGCCTTGCAGCCCGTACAAGTAGAAACCGAAGCTCTGTGGTCTGCCACCTGTGAAGGCCTTGGCAGATAGCCAGACCCACCTCAATGACGCTCAGCGCCAGTGTGACGCTAGCGAGGATCTCAAGGCTGCGCGTGGGATGCTGCGAGCAAAGGTTCTACCGCTGTTTTGTCTTCAGCACCGGATCGCAAGGATCCACACGCAGCATCAAGCAACTGATCTGCAGTGCCATGATCAATCCGGGCCGGGTAGCAAAGACAGAAGGACGAGAACTGTTGGTAGGAGCTCCACTGCGGACGCAGCTTGGAAAGATTTCAGGGACACGCCGCGACACGCAACCTTGCGCTCAGATGATGGGCTTTGAGAAGACGGTGCAGCGCCTCAGGGCTCGCGAGGCCCGGGTCCTGGCCCGAAGAGACCGCTTGCAGGGCAACGCGCAGTCCTTCCGGGACAAGGTGCGAGGGCGCAGGGAGGGGAGGTCTGAGGTGGGCAGTTGGAAGAGTGAGGAAGCCGACGCGGGGATCAGGTATCAGTACAGGTTGATGTTGCATCATGTTGAAAGGCCGCTAGAACTGAAGGATGTGCATGGTCGCTGTCCCCTGGAAGGCCGTTGAGGAAATGGGTCCAGGCGCAGCGGATGGAGAGCAAGACAAAGAATCGCAACCTTCGTAGCTAGATCACGTGTCCAGCTACATAGAGGCGTTTCTGGAGCCTTGTTCAGCTGACATGAGCGTGAGCAAACCTTGTCCACAAACCTGCAAGTAAAAGCTCTTGTTCGTCGCTCTCTACGTGGCCGAGCAGACCGGGCGTGCAAAGTGCTCCTCGGTATGTCCAGCTGTTAAAGCAGGACATGTATCACTTCATTAGACTTATCATGGGCGTTCTGTCGCATCTGCGATGTTCACTCGCTAGCCTGGTTCGCAGCCAGAGCACAACGCCGAACAAAGCGCCACACCTGCATCTGTTGCTCCTTAAGCGAAAGTCTATGCAGCACAGAGGCGCTTGCGATAGGGAACTCGAATTCGCGGCACATGTCCCTGGAAGCAGCACGCAACATTGACCCAGATCCATCACAAAGATGTAGAACTGAAGTAAATAAACTACCCGTTGTGCAGGCTGCCCTTTCTGCATGCAGCTTGAACCTTGGCCTTGCGAACTCCATTTTGCAGCTGCTTCCTCTCAACTGCTGCGCGCCGGGAATTCGTGGTCTGCTTTCTGACCTCCCACGCCGGATCTAGGTTGAAATCCCTGCAGAGTCCGAGCCATGTACATCAAGCAGGTTATCATCCGCGGCTTCAAGACCTATAAGGAGCAAACGACGCTTGACGAGGACTTCTCATCTGGCACAAATGTCGTCGTCGGCTTCAACGGCTCCGGGAAGTCCAATTTCTTCCAGGCGATTCTCTTCGTACTCTCTGACCAGTTCAGTTCTCTGCGTGCAGAGACTCGGAAGGCACTTCTGCACGAGGGTGCCGGGCAGGCGGTTCTGACGGCTTACGTCGAGGTTGTGTTAGACAACTCCGATCGCCGTATTCCTTTGGAAACCGACTCGGTGTCCATCCGGCGCCTCATCGGCGTGAAAAAGGACGATTGGCTTCTGGATGGGAAGCATGCCACCAAGGCGGAGATCTTCGGACTCCTTGAGGGCGCAGGCTTTGCGAAGACGAGCCCCTACTACATCGTGCAACAAGGGAAGGTCAGCGAGTTTCAAAACGTTTCGCAGAGCATGTCCCGTGTTCCCTTGATGGCATGCTCACGTAGTACTTAGTACACAATCTCGGTTCACAGAGCATGAGACTGTGAGAGTGTGCTGGGTAAGCAGGTCAGTGAGCTTACGATGATGACGGATGCACAACGCTTGGGCCTTCTCAAGAGTATATCCGGGGCCGGCATTTGGGACGAGAGGCGCGCAGAATCCGTTAAAATTATGGAGGACACCTCCACCCGGAAGATGCGCAATGAGGGCTTGATCGCGGACATTGAACAGAAGCTGAGAACGCTGGAGGACACCGGAAGGTTGCTAACACCGTCTTAGCATGTGTTGGCCTTGCAGAGTGTTTCAGGGGACGATGCCCAGCTGCTGTTGTGGCAGCATGTTGCTGTGTTCATGAATCTGACTATAATGTAGGGGTGATGCTAGGCCATGGTTCTTACGGCGTGCTTCCAGGACGAGCAGCGTGAGCTCCGCGAGTGCGAAAGGTGAGACGGGATGGTTCCATGAAGCATGGATTACATGTGGAACCTTATAGAGCCTGTACATCTCAAATGAAACCGAATCGCCTGGGTCCAACAAAGACGAACCCTTCCGGCATTTACTCAAAGTCGGCCGCGCCCACTGTAGCTTCCCGTTAATGGGATCCATGTACTCATACTTAGCGTCCTGGGAAGGTTGGAGGCTCGCCGAAGGACCTTGGAGTATGCCTTGGCCGACCGGGAGTGGCGCTCTGCCCAGCAGCGCATCGACGTCCTGGAGGATTTCTTGAAAACCCAGACCGTGTTGTTTGCCGGGAGTGTCGCTACTATGATACGTTCGAGGTTCACGGCATTTGAGCCGGAAACTCTAGGTTGACCCTGACCCTAATTAGGCGGAAACTCTAGGGTGATCCTGACCCTGGGCCCTAGGGTGGGGCTGTCTGTTGACTTGCCTGAAAGGAGAAGCGCACGGAGGCCTCTCAGGAGCTACGCCAGCAGCAGGGATGCTTGGCTCTACACCAGCTTCAGAAATCTTACACGAAAGCCGATGATCAGCTCTTCGAGGCTCCGTTGAGGTCAAGCCATGATATAACCCTTCCTTGCCTAGAGCACTTGTGGCCTCACAGTTCTTGAAGCACAAGGACTCCCGTAGCCTTGATAATTTCTAGTCGATGCGATGCGTTCTGCCGAGGGAAGGTCGCAGATGTGCGGCAGCGCGCTGCGCAGGCGGAGGCAGAGGCCGAGAAACTCGAAGAGCAGAAGAGGCCCCTTGGCCATTCGCGCCTTTTTGAGCTGAAGTCTTCTGTTTGGGGGCCGGGCCCCGGCCCCCCGGCCCGGGTGTGTGTCAAGAGCGGAGGCAGATCTCGGAGGGTTTGGCAGCCCTGGAGTCCGAGCGTGATCGGAAGTTCGAAGCGCTAACCAAGGCCAGGGCTGGGACACGAAGTGTTTTTGTTTGCGTTTGTGCTGCATTCGTTGCGCGCTTCTCTGTCGCTGTTTGAAGCCCCCAGGCCGGCTTGGCTGCAGAGGAGGAGTGAAACCAGCAGAAAAGGGGATGCAGTCAGTCGCTCTGACTCTGATCGCATTTGCGGCTACGTATATTGCGATGGCAACGCGGAGCTCTCTTAAAGCTGGTAATAGTTGCCAGTCGCTTTGGATCGGTTACTTCATGGAAATGATGACATGACATTTGTCGTCTGACAGTGATGGTCATGGTCGTGATTGGATTTGGATGTGGACTAGATGTGCGCGCGATTACATGATATCCGATATCCGGCAAGGATAAAGTGCCCCAGATAGGTGGGGAGGAGAAGGAACACGAGGACGAGGAGGAGGAGCAGGAGGAAGAGGACGCCGAACAACAACACCTCCAGAATGTGGGTGAGTGGGTGATAGTGCTGTAATGTACTGTAGCTGAACTAGAATCAGTAGATGTATTTGTCGACTGGGAAGCCCACAAGAGACGCTTCAGTGAGGAGAGGAGAGACTCGTGATGGGTGGACGGTGGACACACTGCAACCAAGTCAAGTTGTCCTGGGTCACACGAGGAGAGCCGACAGCGCAAGGAGGGCGAGGCACGAAACGATCAGACGCCAGCCTGCCCTTTGAGTTGTTCGAGGTTGCATTCGAGGCATTCGTGATGTACTGTAGTTCAGAGGTGTTGCCAGAAATCGATGGATTTAGCGTTGCACAGGTTCCATGGCCAGACACTTGTGTTGCGATTGTAAAACCCTTATACTATACTTCTCAAAACTTCTCAAGTTTTAAAATGGCTGAAGTAATTCATAAAAGCCTTTGAGCTGAGGAAGCTGGCGGACTTGGCCGCCGCGCGCCGGGAGGTCGCGGAGGCCGCCGAGGTCATTCAGAAACCCAGCAATGAAAAACGCCTTCCTTTGTGTGTTCCCGGAGTTTTCTTCGGGAGCCGGGAGCTTAGCCCTTCTGCACTCAGGAAGGAGCAGCCGGAGGTCCAAGCTGCAGAGGGTGCCTTCAGGGCGCTTGAGCAACAACGCCAGGCGCTGTTGTCCCATGTTTCGAGAGTGCTGCGACGAGACATGCAAGCTCGGGTTGTCGGAAGATTGCCCCGTAGTTTGAAGGCCGAGTTCAAGCAAACCAACCAAACTGAGTAACTGAGAGACTCGAACCGAAAGCCCGGAAACTCTTCACGTGCTCATTGCTGCTGAGCTCACCATGTGTCAGGTTGCAGCAGCTGAGCGCGAGCAGCTGCTGGCAAAGCAAGGACCTCCCTCCGAGTCCCCGCGAAATCCATTTGCCACCCAACTCGAAGCCCTGAGCCGCCAGGCCGCCGTCAGCAGTTCAGCAGCGTGGAAGAAAGGAATCGGGCCCTGGATCAAGAGCTCAGCGCCCTTCAGCTGCCTCATCTATCTTCGGAGAACGGTCAGGCTTAAGGAGCCCAGAATGTTCCAAATAGGAAAGCAGTGGGCCGAGACAGCATGCGGCATGCTCCAGACATTCTCTGTCCATTCGAAGCCTAGCTTTTCTGCATGCAGCAAGCCTTGCAAGCTTTGCAACAACCCCCACCCTTCAGTCAAAGTGCAGCGACGCTTATCAAAGGGGAGTCTATACTACTTGTAGCCTGAAGGGGTTCGATGAGCCGGGTTTTGGAGAACCCCTCAAAGGCCCGGGGGCAAAAGCTGGAGGAGGCCCGGCGGAAGATCGAAGCTCTGCAGCATCGAGCGTCCCTTGTAAGTTGAATCCCATATGGTTGCAATAGCTCTTCAAATGTCTGGAACGCATGCATGCTCCGCGGACTGGTTCACCTTTCGGTTCGCGAGTTTGGAGCTTCCTTCTTGCGGTGAAGGCTCAGGAACGGTGGTCAGGTAGATCAGAGGAAGATGTGCATCATAAGGACTGAAAGCTCTGCACTCTGCGCTTTGATCTTGTCAGGATGTCTGCAACGAGCGCGAGCGCAAGAGGGAAGACGCGCAGAAGACGTCCGCGGAAGTGGCAGCGACAGGACACCGGGGTCATTTCTGTTTTGAATGCATAGAAGCACTTACAAGCAGAGCACGGCGGAGGTCGAGCCGACCTGGCCATCAAGGAGAAGCAGCTCGGGGAGTTGGGCAAGGAGGTCGGGGAGTGGGTTGAGACTTCGAAGCCGGACAACAGAAGCCCAAAAGCCTAAACCCCTCAAGCGACAACACAGTACACCCGAAAGGCCTGAGTATGCGACACCCGGACTTATAAATTATAAACTCTGTAGGTCTCGAAAGGCTTCATAGGATGGCGGGAGCCTTCACCAACAGAGCGTGGAAGGCCCGGAACCTCGGGAGCAGACTGGACAAGCATGCAGAGGACCTGCGCTTGCTCCACCAGGACTGCCTTTATTCAGTTTCTTGCCGGAGACCAAGAGCCCCAACATCTCGAAAGCTCCCTCCTCGAAGGGAGCCTTTCGATGCATACGCTGCGTTGCTGACCTTTTGGATCGGAGGGGAACCCAAAAATGTGGACCCACGTCGCCGGTCTCGCGAGCAATCACCCGCGTTCTGCAAAACCAAGCATGCAAGAGCAGGTGTCCAGTCGGACTCGGACCCATTGCTTGAAGGTTTTTGTTGAGGGAAGACAAGAGAGAGCTTTGGAGAAACGGAGTACCCGTGGCCGGCTTTCTTGGGCCTTAATCACCCTGTGCAACATAAGCCCGGAGCCTCACTGCTCTACGTAGAGGCCTCCCTGTAGCGCAAGTTAGCTGTAATGCTGCGGTTTTTTCGGAGGATTGTATCTTTGTCACTTTTTCTTCAGGATCGCAACAAGGCCCTGCGAGACTTGGAGAGGCTTCGCAGCGAGGTCACCTCCTGCCAGAATCGGTGGCTGGGCGGCACCGGAAGGGCAAAGTTCTTTAGGAAGTATGCTGCATGCTTTGAGGTTTCATGTATCCGGGCATGTTTCGTGGTCCTGGACCCCAGGGCTGAAAATGTCAATCACCCTTGAGGCTAGATGGGACCATGCCGAGGGCAAACCGCCATGCTGTCTCAGCTGTGCTGAGCTGGGCAGCAGAGCAGGGCTTGCAGGACACGGAATCACAGCACCCTTTCGCTACTCTAGAATCTAGAACGAGGGTCTATGGAGTCAGAATTTGCAGTTATCTCAGACACAGCACGCGGTGAGCGAAGGCAATCTGATAGGAGAGCACATCGGAAATAAGACTTTGCACCCATCGACATGAGCTTGTCCTTTGTGCTGCAGATATTTGTAGTCAGGAAATTTGAACCTGCCGTCTTGCGGTCTGTGGAGATGTAAATGCGTGACCGTACGAGTGGCGGGTTCTGCGACGAAAACCTGCAAGTCAGTTCCCTCCGAATCAGGACCGCATTCGGGGCACACTCCTCTCCCACATTGAGGTGGCCCCCACCTTCCGCGCAGCAGTGGAGAACTTTGCCGGCACCGCCTTGTTCAATGCGCCTTGGTAACATCGAAGACCATGGAAGTATGCAGGCTCTGCACCCTTCTTGTCACAGCCCACAGCCTCAGGTTCTTGCCATGGATGACGATGCGGCAGCTCAGGCCGTGAAGCACGTCCGGGTGCGGCGCTTGGGCGCCGTCGTAGTGACGCCGCTGAGCCAGCTCCCTCTCCGGGCCCACACCTTCCCAACAATAGAAGGTGTGAAGCCCTTGGTGGATGTTGTGCGATGTGCAGACTGGGTCCGGCCTGCTGTGCAGCAGATCTTCGGCAAGGCGGTCGTTTGCTCCAGCATGGAGCTGTGTGAGGAAGTCGCCCGGCACCACGGCATCGATGCAATCTCACTGGATGGGGACCGGGTGAGCCGCAAAGGCGTCATCACTGGTGGCTTCCAGGATCCGCAGCGCTTCGTCCGCCTGTCCCTTGCTGAAGCCATCAGAGTGGCGGAGCAGAAGCTCCAGAAAGCAGAGCAGAAGCTTCCGGACTTCGATGCCCAGATTGAGACCGTGAGCGAAGGGGTCAATGAATTGCATGTGGAGCGCCGCAGCAAACAGGAGCAGCGCGACAAGCTGCGGGCAGAGATGCAGCGCTTGGCCGAGGAGGTGAAGGGCTCCGAAGAGGCACTCTCTCGCTGCAACCGCGAGTTGACGGAACTCCGGGAGTGGCGCCACCGCATGGAGGTGCTCATCCGGGAGTGCGAGGCCTCCATCGCCGCCAAGCGCGCGGAGCGCGCCTCGAGGTCCCTGAACGGCCTCACCGCGGCCGAGGAGCGGCGCCTCCAAACTTTGACGGAGCAACTCCAGGAGCTCCAAACTCAGGAAGCGCAGGCCTGGCATGGCCTGGCCGGGGCCGGGACCCATTCGGACTGCCCTACTACACTGTCTATGCTATACTGTTCAACATCTGTTGAACTGTTAGTCTGTTAGTAGCACTTGAGGTGTTATTCGACCGTCCTTGCCTTGTGGGATCAAGATCTTTCAGAGGCGCGCGGCGTCAGCCAATGCCAACCCTTAATTGTTAGGATTCGCAAGGACCGGAAAGGGAGTGTTTCCGTGTGGCTAGAAGCTAGATGACAAGCGACTTCAGCGCGAGTCGTGTGAGTTGGACTTGATTTGCTCATGTCACATGCAAGCAGTGCAAGCAATGCGTTGCTGCAGGCGCAGGAGGCACTGAAGGTGCTGCAGACCAGCCTTGGGGAGAAGCAGGCGCAGCTGGAAGGTTCTTTGAGACCCCGGCTGCACTTGTTGGAGCTGGAGGTGGCTGCCACGTCCTCGGAGGAGACGGCCGAGCGAGCAGAGGAGGCGGTGAACCTCCAAGGGCGCATTCAGAAAGAGCACGGAGAGGCCCTGAGCCGTTTGCAGAAGGAGGCCGAGGAGATGCAGCGTTTGTCGGAGCGGCTTTTGGAGAGCCGAAAGCTTTCGGAGCAGTTGGTGGCAGAAGAGCAGCGGGCGACGGACCAGGCTGCCCAGGCCTCGGTGCGCCTAGACCAGATCACGGCGGAGCAGAGCGCCATGAGCAGCAAAAAGGCGGAGGTCGACGGAAAGCTCCAGGGCTTAGCGGCCGCACCCATCGAGGTCGAGCAGTGCCGGCAGCTTCCCAAGGCCCAGCTTCTCCAGGAGCTATCGGAGGCCACCCGCATGTTGCAACAGATCCAGCACGTGAACCGCAAGGCTGTGGAGCAGTACGAGAACTTCTCGGAGCAGCTCGTGGATCTACAGGGTCGTAAGGAGCAGATCGAAGCCGGGGAGGCCGCGATTGCGGAGGCGATCCAGCAGATCGATGCACAGAAGGAAGAGTCAGTGCACCAGGCACTCCGCAAGGTGAACCAGAACTTTCAGCAAGTCTTCAGCGAGATGGTTCCGGGAGGTGTCGGGCAGCTGCATGTGACCCGGCAAGCTCAAGGCGAGACTCAGGAGAGTCAGGAAGGTTTGGGCGACATTTCGGGCGTTCGCATCGAGGTCTCGTTCACTGGCCAAGCACAGTCCTTCCTGTCCATGAACCAGCTCTCCGGGGGCCAGAAGACCGTGGTCGCCTTGAGCTTGGTGTTCGCGATCCAAAGGTTGGAGCCCGCTCCGTTCTACTTGTTGGATGAGGTCGATGCAGCTCTTGATGCCTCCTACCGCACGGCGCTGGCGAACCTCATCGCACGCACGGCCAAGAAGTCTCAAGTAATCATGACAACCTTCAGGCCGGAGTCGCTGGACAAGGCCGACAGATGCTACCGCGTTTACCAGCGGAACCGAGCGAGCCGCATCGATGCAGTGAGCCGCGAAGTGGCCGCCGACCTGCTTCGTGAGCAGGACCGTTTGGCCCACTTGACTCAAGCCGAAGCCGGGGCGGAGGCTCAGGGAGCTCTCGCAGCCTGAGGCCAGGTGAGGCTCGGAAGTTAATTCCCGAATTTTAGCACCGCCCACAACTTGAGGATGTACAGTTTGCGATCCCTGCGCGGTGACGGTGCAGGGCCACCGGATGTTGACGCAAGTGTGCCATAGTGTGCCACGAGCAAGTCTTTCTTGGGTAGACTGCAGTGGCGCACAACTGCCAAGCATCTGTACGGCCAACATTGTCTCTGATCGCACGAAGTCTCAAGATTCGCATGCTCTCTCTGCCTCTCTGTGCATAAAAGTGAAGGTTTTTGCATTTTCCGCTTGAGCTGAGCTGTTTGAGTTATGTTGATTTGCCTGCCATCACCATCCCTTGTAGGCTCACAGGAAGCCACGGCAACTATGTCAACCTTCCGAGCCATCAATCCGAGAGTCTGACAGTCAGAAGTTGGTTTTCAGATCGCATGCAGCTTCAATGAACCTCGACCCTGCCATGTCAGCCAGCTTGCTGGCAGGTGCCTACAAGGCACGGCCAAGGAATATTCAGGATTTGGCTATCTTAAGCCGTAAGCCACAACGCTTTTGGAGGATGAGTCATTGATTGCAACATCTCTTTCGGCCTTTGGCCGCATTGTACGTGCCTCCTCCGGCAGCCATGTCATGTCCCTGCCAGCTCACCATGAACAGGTCAGGGATCCTGGAGTCTCTCTCGCAGGCAAGTTTGTAGTGGCCGCCGCTGGCCAGGTGTGGTTGCGTAGACGGGTTTGCTGCCTCGAAGTGCTCAAACCAACACCTCATCCACCCGGCAGTGTCCGACGACAGCTTGTAGCATTGCAGCAGCAGCAGCAGCAGCACTGACGTTGGTTTCAAAGGCAGTGCATCGGCATCGGGAAAGCAGGTGCAGGCGGTGTTGATGCTGGTGGACGCCGGGGCGGTGGGGATGTGGTGCTGGTGCTGCTGGTGGCGGCACCACGCGTTTGGCGATTGATCGTTCCATCTCCATACTTCGAGGGCTGAGACCATGGTGCCGTTCCGAAGCAAGCAAGCAAGCAACTGGGAATTCTATCTGCTCTCCACCTGTGTCCTCCAGCATCAGCATTCCTGCGCAGGCCGAGTGTTCCTCGAGAATGTGCACGCTGAGGCGACGCAGTTCGAGCCGCGGTTGCTTCGACAGTCAGGGCCGAGAGACCGGCAGTAACGGGTGATGATAGCAGGCTAGGCCCAGAAAGACTTGAGGTTCGGTCCCGCATGATCGTCTCTCTCCGTAGCATGTGACCCTTGAATGCATTTTGGCACAGCTCTACAGCGAGCTCGGTCTCCTTCTGGTGTTCCTTGGTGCCGTCCTCGCCTTTCAATTCCTCTACTATGAGGTGCCAAATCACACATACGGACAAGAGCTGCCAAAGCACGAGAGAGACTTGAAATTTGCTCTCACCGGAGGTGGCGATGCTGAAGAACCCTTCGGGCCGTTCCCTGGGCCTCCAACTATTCGTGGCCTTGGCTTCATCGTCCTTCCTGGGCCGGAGACTTCGGGACAGTGACAGGGTCAGAGCTTAGAGTCTCAGTTCGTGCAGAGGTCTCGGGCTATTCTTCCTCTATGCGTGGGCTGGCTTGTGCCCGCAAATTGCTGCAACAAGGTTTGCACTTTTTGGTGGGATCCTCGTGACCAGAGGTACTCCTGAGATGCGGCCTGTGTACCCCCGGAGCACTGGAAGAGCAAGGCGCTCGAGGGATTGGAATTCATCCAGCGAAAATTTGCTCCCCTGCGTAGGCTGGCAGGAGTTCGTTGGGCGACGGGCGACGAGACAGCAATGCAAGGTCTCCTGGCATGCCAGCCCGAGCAGGTGATCAGCACCCGATGCTGAGTGTGGTGGCAGAGCGGTTCCACTGTGGCAGAGGCCGCAGCTCCGTGCACACAGAGATGACTTGACGCCCGAAGCGAGACAAAGAAGCGACGATCTGCCTGGCTGCCTGTGCAGCAGCCGGTGGAGCCGTACTTTGCACGGCAATAGTGCACGTCATGCCGCATGCTTCGTAATGCAGACCTTCATTTTTACGACCCGGCCAGCCACATCATGCGTGAGAGGAATTACTGACATAGCACACATACAGCTTTGCACAGTATAGAGCTTCGTACTTTCCCTTGCATCTCCAGCACATTGGTTCATAATCCGCAAGGTAAGATGAAGTTCATTTTGGCGGTTTCCTGCAGTGGGCTGTGGCTTAGTACTGGGTGCCTGGAAAACCTAGGATAAGACAGCGTGGCCAAGGGCTTTTCCACATTACATCAAGTTAGAATCAAGCTCGTAAGAAAGCCGGCTTTAGTCAAGGAGAGCTTGTTTCCCAGAAATAGCTGTGGGGTTCGCAGCGATGTCCGTGTTGTTGGCCGCCGCCTTCAACATCGTTTCGAGCGTGGGCGCCTCATCCTGGGCGGAGTACAGCTCGCCGTGATTTTAGAGCCATCATCTACCGAGGTGAGCATAATCTTGGTCAACAAGCAGATTGCTTCAGTATGCCGCCGGGGCACCGAGCTCTCCTCTGACATGCTGGACTCGTGATTGGGATACGCGGACAGATTTCCTAACAAAGAATGCAGTTTGAGAATCGCGGACATGGCATCAAGCGTTGCATATCTAGCCTCTGGTGACTGCCATCCGCCCCATCTAGTCTCCGTATGCCATCCTGCACCAGTGTGAAGGTGGTTCCGGCCTGTCTGATGCTGCAGTCACATCCGTCCGCAGAGGCTTCGATTTCATTTTGACAATGCTTTTTCTCAACTTCCTGACGACAGCGTCGGGCTCTCAGCGTCTCTCAGTCTTGAAGTGCGAGTCAGAGACTGCAGCGACCCGGTCATGTCAGAGGTCGCTGTTGGAAATACTGGCAAAGCTCCAGTGGTTTGAGAAGAAGCACCTGCCGATGCGCGAGCGAGTCTTTTTAGCAGCTGTCTTGGTTCAGGTTCCTTTACTCGCTCAAGATGGAAACTTCGCACTCAGCATCTCTTCTTTGCTTTCGCTGTGTACCTCGTGGAATCTCGTGGCACCTTTCAAACAGCCTAAATTCTAGATTCGATTTCGCTCGAACGAACATGTCGTTGGAGGTATGGCTGCTGAGCAAGCAAAGCTGCAACATTTGCAAGCATGTCTCCACCTTCGGAATCCCAGACCCGACTTTTCCGAGGTCCGAAATCCAAACAGAAGCCACGGCTGGGAAACTTTTTGCGTATCCCAACCGGGTCGTTGTCAACTTCGCCCTAACGCGGTCTCCGCCCCAACAAGCTCAGGATGGCTCATCGCAGGTGCGCGGCCCTGGGGGTAACGGCTTGACTCTTGACCTTTCAACTCTTCGGAATCCATGTCAATGGTTTGGGAGTGTCAAGTTTGTCGTTCATCCATTCGTTCGGTCTTTATTAATCATATGGATACTCTCCCACGTCGGCTTGATATCGAAAGCAACTATTCAGCCACGCAGGTATTGCGCTTAGCACGGTCCTCCTCAACAACTGCAGCAATGAGGCGTGCTCAAGTACAAGCAATGTCGTGAAGCATGAAGAGCTGTCCAGTTCATATCAGTTGCTGCGTGACCGTGTGCGCCTCCGCGGGCAGCTTGGTGGCTCCAAGAAATGATGACAGGCTTTTTCATCGCAGAAGTAGCATACAGTCAAAGACCCGCTGTAATCGTGAGTTAAAGGAAGAAGAAGAAGGAGAAGGGCCGTCGACACCCATGGGTCGAAGCATTAACTGGCAAGATGCAGTCAGTGGCTCCGCGGCGGGTGCAGTGTCCAAGACTGCCACAGCCCCGCTGGAGCGAGTCAAGATGGTGTCGCCTGGAGATGCAAAGCATGTTTCGAGGTTTTTGTGTTGCCAGTAACCGATTATACCCCGCAGTTATTTCGAAGTCCCCTCGGCCTAAGCAGTTGAATCTGGCACAACTCCAGGCTTCAAAATCAGCAGCTGTCTGTCGGGAGGGCTGCAAGGGCACCATTGCGCAACGTTGTGCATGCCGCTGCGCAGTAGCCTGGCATACAGTTCCATGCGATATAATGGGATTTGATAGGGTTTCGATGTTGGCTCACCCGGGTTTGAAGTTGTCATTTCCGTGGGGATTTGCTGGGGCATGATGTGGCGAGTTGGACAAAGCTTTTTCGGCGATGTTTGGGTACGAGGGCAGGTAGGATACACTTCCACACAGTATTGCACACAGGCGGTACATGATATGTCTTCCAGTGCACAATTGTACATGTTTGCACGGAAACCACCCATGAGACAAGATTACAATCATCCTGCACATGAGAGCACGGCCTCAGAGCCTGGCAGGCCCGACTTGTCCCTCGACCAACCTGGTCAGCAACAGTTGCCAATGTAAGATTGGGTGCCAGATTTCGCCTAATTGCCGTAGCTGGCAGCATTTCTTGAACAGAAACTTCGCGAACACACTCATGTTGGACGGGATAGCTCCCGAATGTGCTGAGCTCACGTCCTGACTGCAACAAGTAACGATCACTGTGTCGTGGTGCACTTCACTTTCACTCGCCGAGACTTTGGAGTATCCTGGGTGGAGGTTTGATCGGTTCGACTCGATTCGCTGGCTGTGTTTGCCGTGTTCTTCGATTCAGATGTTTTTTGGCCACCTCACAATCGAGTTCACAAACCCGACCCAGAGTACCAGAGCCTGTCCTGTTTCATGATAATCAGACCTCCGACAGGCTTCTGCAGGAGCCATGTGGACTAAGAGGGTTTTGGCGCGGCAATTTGGCCAACGTCCTCCGCGTCGTTCCCACCTACGGCGCCCGATTCTGGCTGTTTGCCCTGTGCGACGAGACGCTGGCCTTTGTGCCACAGACGGACACAAGGCATGGCAGGGCGGACATTGACATTGACATAGCAGTCTTGTACTGTCGTGAGATTTCCAGTCTATGCAAAGCATTATCCTTTCCAGAATCTCAAACACACCCCGGAGCCCGGGCCCCTAACATTTTGCAGAACCGCAGCCGAGCCCAATCTGGCAGCCGCAGGCGCTTCATCTCGGGCGGCACGGCGGGTGTTGGTGCCCTGCTGCTGACGCATCCTCTGGACGAACTGGGCTAGCAGGGTCTGGGTTTTGTGTGTCCTTTTTCGGGGGCCGTCTTGGAGGGGTTGCTGGCGATGAATCCTTGCCAGAGAGTCTCGAAGGACTATGTGAGTCAACAGGTTCAGCATGGTTCAGCATTTGCATTTGAAGATGTTTCGAGCTGCTGAGCTCTGAACGTCGATGTTGACGAACTGGCTTGAGAAGTCTCTGAAATCGGGGTGAAGTCATTCAAATGACGACAAGACATGTTTTCAATACTCCGGAGGCTTTGAGTGGCCTGCGACGAGACGTGGCGTACCCTCTGATTTTACTGGATTGGTAGACACACTTGTAATGTTCACAGGGAACAGTACACGCTCTGACGACGACGCTGTCAGTTCTCATGATGTACACGGAAGTTCCGGTTCCTGCGAGGACATGGTCCGGACCCGCCTGGCTGCAGCACGCGTGTTTGCGGACGAAGCATCCTACAACGGCTTTGTTGCTTCGTGACAGCACATAAAGCAGTCGGTGCACGCAGAGCCTTCGAATTAATTCGTCGTAAGAGTCTGCTGAATCTCTTACAGTAGCCCCCAGCCACGGGATTGAACTGCATCCTAGCCTCGCCGCCCCAGGATTGCTTCCTGAGCGCTTGGAGAAAGGGCGGTGTGCGGGGGCTCTACGCCGGCTGCCTTGCCAGCATGTTGGAAATTGCTCCATACAGCGCCATCGTCTTCACGGCCTATGAAGGTAGGAGGTCAAAAAAAGGTGGCAAGACATCTCTGTATCATGCACTTCCCATGGCTTGTGAGCAGGCATCAAGCAGCGTTTGATGCCTGCGGGCAGCACTGGCATTTTACCATCTGGGCCACAGATTCTGGCAGGAGCCAGCTTCTGAAACAGTTAGGGCCAGGTTAAGGCCCTCATTGGCGTCAGGGATGTATCTGTGAGTCGCTGCATGTCGCCTTTAGAGTCCCTGACCGAGTAGCTCTACCTTTTCAACATCATACGGATCATCTGTAACGAGCACGAAGCTTTGCTGCCACCTGGCAGGAGCCAGCAGCGGAATGATTGCCGCGAGCGTTTGCTATCCATTGGACACCATGAGGCGGCAGCTGATGTTGGATGGAGCACTTGGCTTTGATGCCAGGTATGGTGGCAGTATTTGGAAATGCTGCAAGAGCCTGTGGCTCCAAGGTGGCTTCCTATTGCTTTACCGGGGGTGGACGGCGACGTTGCTTAAGGCTGTGCCGACCGTTACGATCACATTTCTGACGAAAGACTTCCTGTCCGACGTGCTGAAGCAGTCCTGATGACTCACCACGACCTGCCTTAGATGGGCAACTGTGCCTTCGGATTCGCTCCGTGGCGAATGAGGTGCTGCGGCTGAAGATCACGGATCTGTGCAGGGCGTGTGTGAACGATGTCGACGAGATGCACAAGAATTTCCGGCTGCAGGTCGCGAACATGACGGGCCCAAGCTGGTGATGGTTCGGTCAAAGCGAGAGTCCTTCCCTTGCAGGGACTGCAGGAGCTGGCAGGACATCGTCACGCCTCACGATTCTTCATCGGGCGCCATCTCTTTGACTCAGCTTGCCGGCGCAGAAAAGTTCAGCGTCGTCAGCTTGACAACCGCTTGAGCAGGGTGCAGGAGCAGACTTCCGCAGACTGTCCAGGCAAACAGCGTCGGGTTCTATCAGATCACAAAGCTGCTCGGACTTCGATGGAAGACTTCACAGGCTCCCCGGTTTTTGTTTGGCTCCAAGGTTGCTGATCATCCCCACTGTTATGGGTCCCGGACTCAGTCGTAAACTACTCTGAGTTGCAGGCTTTGCATCATATCCCAAAACTATACCCGTAGTCAACCGCGACTTGCGCCAGGACTGGAAAGATTGCAAGGGCGAAAGTCGGCAGTTTACAGTCGCAAGGCCACTACAGCAAGGTCCTAGGCAGCCTCAAGTCTCAAGTGTCGCGTTGTGTTGCACTACTCATGGCTGGGGTTCGGGAACTTTAGATCTTTAGGTGTTGCAGGCCATGGACCATAGATGTTGGAAGTGCTGAGCGGTGGTTTGCTTTCGGTAGTTTTGGCTCGCGCAGGTGATCCTTAGTATCGTGGTCACAGCGATTGGAGTGGGAGCCTTTGTTTCTGTTGGAGTGGAAAGACATCCTTTCGCTCTGTTATGGCTCGGCCCGTATGCTTGCTTGAGAGGCTGCTGGCAGCAGAGCATGTGGTGTACGACTGTAGCAGATAAGAAGATTGATTGGAGACGCAACCTGCCCCCGATGCCTACAGGTGGCTGTGGCGACCGTCTCGGACTTCGAGATGAACGCCTGAAGCCGAACAAGGGTACTTATGCCTGTTGCAGATTGTATATTTGTTGCAGCCCTGCTCTGCCTGCAGTTTGCTACTGTAGCAGTCATGAGTCATGTTTATCCTAAGAGCAGTCCCGGAAGGTCCGCGGGACCATCCTGGCGGCTCTTTCAATCGTGAGCACCGCGCCGCACTTGGCTTCCTTTGCCAACTGCGAGGGAAGATAATTTGGGAATCAGAGCCCTGACTTGAAGGCACAGTACCAAATTTGGCAAGGCTCGAAGCAGCACGAGCTACTCACCTGCAACGGTTTGCGTGCAACTCTTGGGTCGCCAGAGCAACGTGTAGTACCTCGCCAAGGCATGGCGTGACTGCGACGCAGATCACGTACTCAGTCGCATGATTCTCAGCATGGCAAGCCATAACGCGAGATGCCGGACTCTTGTGAATCGGCAGAGATGCGTGTTTTGATGTGTTCAGGCATGGCCGCAATCCATTGCTGGGCTTGCAAGTTCGCTGACAGCTGATGCACTTGGGCAGCACCAGCACCGAAGCGAGATTTCTCGTGCACGTTTTCTGGCCGCTGCACAGACCCAGGTGCTCATGCCGAAGGTGAAGGCACAGCGCTAAGCAGAAGCAACTTGTGGGAGTCGACTGCATACGTCACAGGACAATGTGACTCGTCCCAGCTTTACCCCGAATCTTCCCGAATCACAAGCCCAAAACCGGCAGGTCCTCATTCTCATGAGACCATCCAACCTGCTGGAACATCAGCTGTCTGGCCAAGGCAGGGACATATGTGCCTGGGACAAACGAGTAGATCAACCATCGCTATTTGCACATAACTGTGCTCTAGATCTTGGGCTTTCGGAGAAAAAGGTGTCTCTTCTGACCAGCCCTATCCTTTGTACTTTGTGCGAAGGGCTCTTTGGCGCATCTCTCCTGCCTCGTCCTACTAGTAGGTCCTAGTGTGTGTTGTTTGCCTCTGCTGCATAGTCGCGGAGCAGCCTGGTGCACATGAACAGAATCCTAGAATATCCATGTCCATGCACATCTGTAAACACAGACACAGAGAAGCACAGAGGTATGCAGAGTGTTTCGATATGGTAAAGAGAGGCAAAAGATGATCCTGCCAGGAGGGAGACGCAAGAGAGAGAGAGAGAGAGACAGCAAGCAGGTGAGGGAGGCAGGTGCCCTCAACGAATGATTCCCTGGAGAGTAACGTCCATAGTCACGACAGGCAGAATCGGTCAGTTGCGTTTGTGTTGACAGGCGATCTCTTCTGGATCGCTCTCTGCAACGTGTTGGCCGTGTGTACCAACATCTCTGCCTGGAGCCCGTTGCAGGGAGCCGCAGCGCATCAGTGGGCTTCATAAACTTAGCAGTCCTGTTTGAAGCACGGTTCCCCAAGAAGATGCCGAGATCTGCAGCCCCCTTATCCGCAAGCCTCAACAGCTCCACAGGTCTATGGCCTCATCGGCAAGACGTCCCCGGTGACCTACCAGGCGGGACGGCTTGAAGCCTTTGCTTGAAGTTCCAGGCCGTTGCCGCCAAGATCAAAGGGCACCAAGGAAAGGGTCGTTCGGCTCAGATGCAATCGTGGTCCAGTTTTTTGAATTTCGGTGTTTTCGCATTGGGATGCTGACTGGAAACCATTGCTGCAACATCCCGTCCCTCCAAGCAACACAACCATGCATACTGGGCCGTGGCCGAGCCAGGTGAGGCCAGGTCAGGTCAAGCTTGGTATGAGAAATCCGAAGCTCCGGACCTGCGTCGGTGAAGGTGGTTGGACAGCTCAAGACGGTGCTTGTCGTGGTATTTGGCTACATCTTCTTCGATGTATGTCGGCAGCACTAGATCGAGTTCTCGACCGATCCTTTGAGACATGAAAGTCGAGCCAAGGTTCGTGTTCCCCTGCATTGGTTGATCCTTGGACTTACGCCTCTGGCCATCAGTCGCCCTCCGTTCCCTGAAGCTTCTTGATTCGCTGATACTCCTCGCAGTCCCAACTCAGGATGCTTCGCTTCGCAGGCGTCGGGGTTGCGGTCATTGGCGTGTTCAGCTATGTGGCTCGCCTCAGATTAGAGCATGCATGGGCCATGCAAACGTTTCATCAACGGGTTTCCATCAGCATCCAGCTTGGCTAAGCTGAGGCCTTGTGCAAGAACGCAGAGGGCCGTGAGAAGAAGAGCTAGTATGGGGACGAAAAAGCCATGCTCCGACCCTAGGTCTTAGGTCCTCCGTTGCTTTAGGCCTTGCAGATTGAGGCATTTCAACCCCAACGAAAACAAATCATCCTGCTTTGCCTTGGCTTGAAGATCAAAGTTTCGCGCTGCCACAAGTAGTCGCAGACATGGGCAGTGCCGCATCTGCACACAAGGGCGCCATAGCCAGTTCGAGCGCAGAGGATCTGAAGGAGACGGTCGCAGGATTTTCGGAAGACGAACGCAAGAAGATCCTCGAGGCGTTAGCCTCGATCGAGTCAGGTGCTTCCGCACCATCACTGGAAGCAATCGCGGGATCCTACACAGCGCATGCCAGCGATGGCGATTGGGGCGAATACAGCATCGTAGTCAAGGTCAACAAGGACGCCAGCATGACGATCGCGACATCGGCATGCTTTTTCCGTGATAGTCCGGAGACTTGTACCAAAGAAGAGGGCACAGGCACGCTTGATGGCGACATTCTGGTCTTCACTTCCTCCCAGTTGACGGAATCCCAAGAGGGAACCGGCGCCAAGGAAGCATCCACCACAACGAAAACTTCGAAATCGACGTTCCGAGTTCAGCCGGACGGTGCCCTGGCGAAACTGGATGCTGATGGTGCAGTGGCGAAGATCCAAGGAGGTTATGGCGGTGAGCCTCAACCAGCCATTCTTGCAAGACAGTCGTGAGGGCCGTTCCATACGGTAGAGCTTGTTCTCCATGCGTTTCACCGTTTGCGTGTACAACTTGGCACGTATCTTGCAATTAAATTCAATGAGCGGTTTCTCATTGTTCAACTTGATGTCTTGTTTGTTCTGTGGCTCCTCCCACATACTATGTTTAGGGGATGTAGATTTGTGTTCGGTTTATGAAAGTATAGATTCGTGTTTGGGATAGGAAAGTATGAATTACAAAATTGCACAACGAAAAAGAATTTGTATTCATTAGTTGTAGTTACGTCAGAATGAGATTAATTTTCTATCTTGATCACAACCAAAATCCCTAAAAGCTTGGAAAAGATTTGATAAATATTTCGCTAAATAGAGTTAGTTGTTTGTTATTTTCAACAGTAATCGAAAATCTTGAAATAAATTAGACTAGTATTGATAAATATTTCGTATATCATTAATAATGATTATAAATAGTTATTTTCGATAAACAATATGTATTTTATGAAAGCTTTGGATTATCTTATGTGATCAATTCTGTGGATAGTGATGGAGAAGTGCAGGAGCCTTCTAGAGGAAAAAAAAGTGGTATTGGGTGTGTAGGGAGCGTAATAATCATTTTAATATTTGTGTTGTTGGGTCGGTAGTGCGCGTAACATCGGA